GCTGTGCTGATTTTGACGATGACTAACTCAACCCTTGGTACGGTACCAATGGTACCCAAGCCGAGTCTTAATAACCTGAGGCTAACTGAAAACCAGTGGCGTGGCGTGCTTTGCGATATATCGATTGTTACGCCATTTAAATATATGAAAAAGGATCGATAAACAGGGTGTTCGCAGCGAACACCTTAATAATCGATTCTTTACCATGGGTTTAAATGACATAACAATCGATATATCGCAATTCACGCCACGCCACTGCTGAAAACGCATGACTCGGGTCGCGAGTTGCATGGGACCGGTACTTACGAGTTTTAGTCACAGGTCTACAATACACCGTCACGGAAAAAAATATTTGGTGCTTATAGCCAGATAGTAGGTGACATTTACCATCTTGGATTCCCAGATTCGACCCCTGAGAACAATTTTGCTACGAGCACAAATGTATGATGGTTAGAAACCTCAAACCGCGATCAGGTAGGTAGGCGTTGACAACAAAGATGGTAATTCGCACCAACACTGCTGGGCGGGCGTGCGGTCCTCCAAAGACGTCCCGCACAGCGTTGCTGAGATAGACCTTCAAAGATGGTAAACTGACCCATCCGGATGTTTAGTGTATCAATCATGAAAGCAAGGAGAACCTAATATTTTGTGTTTTTAGCCATAAAGAGGAGTATTTTCTTGTAAAACGTACAGCTAAAAAAATTGAATACAAAGGTGTGTAATGTCGGGGTTCGCAGCTAGGGGATGGTGGAAAAGGGTTAATCGCGTAAATAAATTTTGAAATCGAGTAAAATGAGACTACAGTACTTATTGTGAGGTGCTGTACTTAGTCGTATCCCGACCCATCAAATTTTTTTGCCTACCGCGGGAATTGAACCTGGGACCAGGGACCTATCATACCCTAGCCGAAGACCCTAACGATTGAGCTATACGATGATGAGAATTTTGACCGAGAAACCTGTACCTACATAGCTTCGATTTGAACGGGAAACCAGCTGATATTCAATCTACATACTTAGATTGGTTCATTCATTTTTCTAATTTTTGTATTTCATTTTATTTTTTAACGTTATTTCAGTTTTTTTACTTTATTTTATTTCGTTACTTCATTTTAAATTATTTACTTTATTTTTTTCTTTGCGTAACATAATTTTTTTGATTATTTCTTTTTATTTATTTACTTTATTTTAATTTTTTTTCCCTTCGTTTCTTTACTTAATTTTAGTGTTTTACCTACTTTATTGTTTTTTTCTTTACTTAATATTATTTTTCTTTGATTATTTCCTCTTCATTTCTTCCCTGTATTTTACCGTTACTTACTTTATTTTATTTCTTGCAATTTTTTATTTTTTTACTTTAATTCAGTCACTTCATTTTAATTTTTATACTTCATTAAATATCTCTTCGTTGTTATTTATAACTGCATTTTATTTATCTATTTTTTTCTTTTTTTCTTTCCATGTCGAGAATCAATTCAAAATTTTCAAACTAGGATTATTTTTATGATTGGCTAAAGTGCTTCTAGCATTGGACAAATGGACTACATTTTGCAATTTGGAACTATAAATTCTAGCCCGGTTTAAAAATAACGTATGTGCCAGTAGTTTCCCTAAGCACATACGTGTTTTTCCAGAAGAGGCAGAATTTATAGTTCCAAATTGCAAAATGCAGTCCAAATAAGCCCAGGCTACTTACTTGAACAAGTGAGATTATGTAGAATAGAAAATAAAAAAAAATTACCCCTCTAAAGTACTGAAGCCTTGACATGGTATTAAATATAATGCATGCCTAGGTAGCCTCCCGGTAAACCTGGTAAGTATGTTTAGCTTAACGACAGCATACAATTGACAAGAAACATTGTTAAAACATTAGTAACAATTTATTGATAAATTTCTGCCATTTCCTTGGAATTTTGAATGTAGAAAAAAATTGATTTTGAAAACTATTATTAGTACCAGGGGCCTTTGGCCACTACGCTGCCGACAACCAGTGCGGAAGAACACAACATACGTAAAAAGTCGTAGAACAACCGTGTTCAAGTTATCTCGGAGATTAATGGATTCAAATACAGTCAATTTTTTATTTCCGATCAATGTTTTTAAAAGAATACACACTGTTATTCTAATGAGTTTCCGCAAATTTTCCTGAGTGATTTAAAATAGATAAAAGAAAATTTGACTTAAAACGTAAAATATCCGAAATCAAAGCTCAGATTCGGCTTCCTCGCGAAAAATCGATGCAATTTCATGTATCATATGTCACCATATCATGAAGGAAAGAGATTAACGTAGGCGTGTCTGTAGATTCTAACATAAATCAGTCCGACATGGCAACATGGGTGATTCGGAGTGGGTCAGCTGATGAGAAAGAAGAAGATTGTTTTCTCGGAAACGAACGAACCAAATGCTCAACGCCGGCGCCTGGCGGCTTAGCTCAAACGTTTGGATTCTGTGCCTACTTCCGCATACCGGCCGGCTTTGATAGGATCTTTACGCCTACGATTAAGTACCCTCTTTTCTTTGTGCTATGGTAACATATGATACATGAAATATCATCGATTTTTCACGAGGAAGCCGAATCTGAGTTTAGATTTTGGGTATGATGCGTTTCAAGTTGAATTTTCTGAATTTGAAAATTTAAGACGGCGGACGTAGCCTAAATTGATACATCGGCTATACCATTCCATCGATTAAATTCGAATTTTTAGTCTAATTTCGAAAAACCAAGGTGGCGGGCGTGGCCTAAAACGCTATCTCGGTTCCTGCTCGTCGGATTTTCGTAAAACTTGGTGCCAAGGGGAGGGAGGGGGAGGAAAGAAATTTTCAAACACTGCAATCGATATGTCGCAGGCAAATAGTAAATTAGGCATTTTGTCAAATGCCTAGGCAAATTGTCAAATACTAAGGGGCTATGCCCCTGACCGCTACGCGGTCCAACCCCCTGAAGGCGCTCCGCGCCATCAATGGGCCGCTTCGCGGCCCTATTTTTATCTCCTATCAGTGTTAGTTTTATTTTTCCCCACAAAAATTACGATATGAGGTATACTTTACTTTTAGAATGAAATAATTTTTGGTTTTAATGAATATTTTAGTTCGTTTTTTTTTTATATCAGTGAAAAATTTAACATCGTCCGAGTTTCTGAATTATTGTAATAAATGCCCTTTAATTATCATTAAAACCGAGCAGAGTCAAGAATAATTAATTGCGCGAAGTCATATAGTTTTGCGGCGATTTTACCGTCGCCCGAGCCAGGGACGGGAAAAGGAGTACGCTCCACGAACATATTATTACACGCTTATCAGTCACACAAGGTGGGTTGAAAATGAATTCTTGAAAATTTATCAACATACTTTCCCTAATCAGCCCATATCTGATTGCTTTCTTTGGTGACTCAATGTTGGTAAAGCGTAAAAAATTGACGGGGCAGACTACTGACAAAATACTTTAATTGAGTTATCTGAGATGGTGACCTTCATAATCAACAAGTTTATAATTTGCACTAACGCATTCTGTAGTTCAATGAGCCCACTTAACCGAGTAGCATTAACCAAAAACAAGATAGGTGAAGCGCAAGCGCACTCTTTGGTGCAATGAGTCAACTTGATGGAGCAGTTTACCATCAATTTTGTCTCGGTGAACAGATTTGTAATAGCTAGTAGCAACTAATTGAAAATGATTGATTTCCCTAAAGACGTGAACAATACAATGCCGTTGGTTATTCTATCAATTTTTTCATGTATACGGCACCAACTTTTAATTAACAAAACCAAGATGGTTATCCGCGCACAGTCATTTTTTTCCGTGTAAAAAATAATCAGACATCAAATTAAAATAAAAGACAAATCGAGAAGCAAGGAATTTTTTTGATGAGTATCCCTTGAAATCTCAATCCGGGTCAAATTGACCCGACCATCTCCTTTCAGAGAGTCTTGGTGTCGCCTCAATCGCAGAATGTAAGTAGTAGAACATTGCGAGTTCTCGCCTTCAATTTTGCAGATGCAACATGGACATCCATCAAGCACGAATAGTTGTATCCCTGCGCCGTTATCGACCCGCGTAGAGGAGTCTCTAGTTTTTGAAATTTGAGAATAATTTAGGTTACGTTAGCAGAATATGCTAGAATAAGTCCAGTCAATGATCATTTTGGAAAAAAAGTAAAAACATGTTTAAAGGTCTCAAAAACGCCTTAAAGGGTGCATGTCTAAAAGTTGGTATTTTGGCGAGAGTTGTGTCAAGTCAGGATATTTTTTTTTTAACGTCTACGTACCCCTGAAAATCCGAAGCCGGGTTAAACTGACCCAAGTACCTCTTCTGGGGGAATTACATATGACGGCTGATGGTTGAGAAGGCACCAGTATATTACCAAAAATGTGAAAAAAAAAAAAAAAAAAAAAAAAAAAAAAAAACGTATTTCTCACCCTCAAAAATGTAGAGATAACATGGAAATAGGTAATACTTCGAAACTATCTAAATCCATGTACTTGAATACGGGTCAGTTTGACCCGACTTGGAACTTTCAGGCTTAAAAGGTCTTTGGCATCTATAGAAAATAAAAAATAATACACCATTTGAAAGTTAGTAACTTCTTTTTTCATTTCCTTTTCATTTTGGGGAAAATCTTCATTAATTTCTTAAATAATGAATAAGTATGCAGAACTTTCTGGAAGGTAAGCCCTTGTAATCACACCGACAAAGCACCTTAAATAGGTTCCTTAATAGAATGCACTGACTTGCGATGGGTCGACCGATTTGGATAAAACTTCGTATGACTCAAGGGGAAAATAGTAGGTAACTGATGAGACAAACTTATCTGGCTTATTTTTTTTGGATTTCGAAGTATCTGAGAGGGAGAGGGGGAGAGAGGGGGAGAGAGAGAGGGAGAGAGAGGGAGAGAGAGAGAGAGAGAGCTTGAGGTAAATTTCGGTCAGCTATTCTGGCTATTTCTTCAAATTGATAAAGGTACTATCATACTGACATGCTTGAATTAAAGAAGTTGACAGTGGCAGTGAATGCTTATTGTTTATTAAAAATTAAAAATTACATTTAATTATAAAAGGCACAAACTTAAACTTAAGAGAAACAGTACTTACAGCGATGTTGTAATATTAATGCACTTTCGTTTTTTCCTTCACACAGGCACAAAAAAGAAAGAAAAATATGTAAAAAGAGAGAAATAAATAATAATTGTTTAACAATTAAATGAATCGCTGAATACTGACATACAACTGCACTTTTTACACATAAAGATGCCCAAACGCACTTTGATGCCATTCTGCAATCTGCAATCTTGCCTTTGATTTAGCGAGAGCTAATATCTACGGAGGGTAAATTTCCTCTTTCATTAAACATATCAAAACTTGCACGTAGGTTTTTTTAAGAATAACTTGATGCAACATTGATAAGAGAGAAATATTTCCTCTTCAACTTTAGGAAATAAACTCTATGACAATAAGCAAAAATTCTTTTTCAATACAGATTAATAACTCCTTATAATTTGATCAGACAAAAGGTTTTTGATGAATTTGACAACAATGTAGACAGTAACTTGATTTCTGTTCATTAACACGAAATGACAGGAGCCTTTGAATATTCAGATCAGATGGTATCAACGAAGGAGAAAAGCTATAATAACTTTTTTGTTGACTTATGGTCTAAATGCAGAGCAAGATGGCAAAAAGAAAGAATGGTGGAAAAACAAACAAACGACAGCTCTTTGAAGAGAACCATCCACAGAGATGGGAATATACTTTCTATATTATGCTGGGTGTGCTGGAGTAACAGAATATAATTTCAGGGATGAAGGATCGTTTTATAGAACTCTGTTGCATTAGAAAAAATAAAGTTATTTGCAATCTTTTAAAAATGGTTACAGAAAATTTTATACTTCGGAATGATACAGAGAGGAGAAGGAAGGAGACCTATTAATTTCCTGACAACGAGATCATAGACATTTAAAATTCAGAGTGTTTCTGATTGCATTACTATTTTTAAAAGCAAAAAGAAACTCAATAAAATTAGAAACAAGAATACTATACAAATACTTCGGTTGCAAAAGTAAAATAAAATATTTAAAAGTTTGTAACAAAGAAACAGAAATGAAGACTTGAGAAGTCGATACAAAAGTACAAAATGAGAATGTAACACAATGATAGGCAGGATGCGGAAAATATGAAAATGGACGGCGTGATTATCACAATATTTTAAAAGAAGAGAAAAAAACACAATAACATCACAGTAAATAATACAAAAATAAGAAGTATTACTGTAAATAAACAGTGCAACTGATTATAAACGGTTAAGGGGAATAAGTGCTCCATTTTTCATTATTAATCTAATTCATCAATGTTCAGAGCAAACAAGATACAATTCTTCGTACAGGAGACAACAAATTAATTCATGCAGCTCTAGGTAATTTCAACGCTTTAAAGTACCAAACTGTCAGTAAAATTTCCCGATGTAAATCAAAATGGCTATTGACTTGAGGATTTAGGTTTCAGCTAAGCTAAGAAAACATCTAAAAAAGGAAAGGTTACTAAAGTGCCTAATTCTAGCACTCACTCAATCAACATACAATAAATAATTTCAGAAAATTATTTGTCTTTTTTTAAAAATAGACGGATCTGAAAGCAGCGCACCACATTCATAGAAATAAAAATTCATTGATTAAGGTTTTAGATTCTCATGTACTTTAATATAAATTTTTTCCAATACACAATTAAGATACTGGTGAAATTAAGTTTCAAACTGAAAATTTTCTTAGTTAATATTTACCGGTTATTATCTCACTTCAAGTAGGGAGCTTACACTTACAACTCACTTTTTTACGTAAATCATTTAATATAACGTAAGGCAATTGAAATTTTTAGAAGTGCTCCTTTGAACACAGTTAACTTAAAAGTTTTTGCATCACTATATTGGACCCCATATTGGACGCTTTTCAGTGAACAGAATCTATCTATATTGGCTTTTTGGACACTACTTGAAACTGGGAATGAAATTTCTGCAGCAGACACACATTTTTTCAAAACCAGACGGTTGGAGCTATTCTGTTCCCTTTGCGGCATTCAATTGTACTTTAAAAACATGGCATTTTAATACGTAAGTTGCAAAGTTTCATGCACAATTATAAGATTGCATGATGCAAGATTTTGAATCTGAAAACAATGTTCTTTTCTTGCAACTCTTTAAGACTAAAGTAATGCTATTGCACTTTTGCTTGACACTGATGTACCCTATTTTAGCTGAAAATACAAGTTTTGAAGTACAATCCAGGTGAAAAATTTTTCCATGTATGTTTTAAAAACAGAAAAACTATGGTTGAATCGGTATTATACAAAATTTACACTATTTACAGAGCGATACGTCAAGAAATAAAAATAAGGTAAAAAAATTGGTGCGCTTAAAATGTTCAGAGAAACCTTTCAAATCACAAAGAGACAGTGAGAAACCTAGTTTACAAAAATCTCTTTTGGACACATATAAATTTGAGGAGTATAAAACTGAAGGCTCAGACATTTACAAAACATGATCACAAATAAACCATCAATGAAAAAAAAAGAGACTACATAGTGCTTTTACAAAGCAAAATTGAAAGTCATATTTTTTGTGCTTTTTTCGATAAAATATAAAAAAAGAGACATAAAATAAAGAGACCCTCGATAGGTTAGTGGTTCAATCCCTGTCTGGGTGCATTTTGATGATTGCAGTTATTGAATTAGTGAGGATGAAAACGCATCAACTCTGGTTTTTTTTTTTTTTCAATTTCCACTTTTTTACAGTTTTGTAAATCATATGGATAGACACATCCACATGCAACAGATACTTCGGAAAACAGCTATCAGAAATGCTCGGAACAGCGGCACACAAAACTTTTTTCGACTTCCTCACCTACCATGCAGTTTTTTTGCTTCCTCAGCATTTTCATTTTCCTGAGTTGGTGTGTCTTCATTCTCACTTGTCTTGTTACTTTACAATAATAAAGTAGGGCTTATTTTTTGTTTTTGAAGTTTGACTATTAGACTGACTAATTGTATGAGGCACAATGAAAAAGAACAATACAAAAACGCCACAGTCATTGCAATGGGCGAGCACTTCGGAAAAAAATAAAAATGCTATACTGATTTTTAATTATGTTCTGGACCAATATAAAAACATTAACTTTTTAAAACATTCATCATACCAAGCAGCGAAAAAATGAACACATGAATCAAAAGTAATAGAGTAAAAAATGTGCGTAAGTAAAGTAGGACGGATTTTAAAAGTGTAATCCTGTTATGAGATGATAATAACAAATGAAGTATTGCACGATTTTTAAAAGATTTACTGAATAAATTATCCAACTTTACTAAATATTTTAGCGGCTATCGTTATTTATTAATAAAAGGACAAAACAGCAATTGAGGAGTTTTCTGGAGAAGGATCCTGTGTAAAAAATCACATTTTGAGAAAAATGTATTTGAAGTTTTACCAATGGTCGTTTTTCGTTCTAAAGTGTAAAAACTTTGAATGTAAGAGGCAAAGTTCCAATGTAAGTAATCATCAGTGGCTAGAAATTAATAATAATAATTTCAAATGAATTTTTCTCAGGGGGCGATTTTTCAATTTGGGCCCTTTTTCTGAAAAGCTCCTCAATTCAGGTATTTTCTGGGTAGAATATTAGAAAAACTACTGATTACAATACAAAAGTATTGGCTGGTATTTGGCTAAGAAAAAAAGAAAAAGGCAAACTGTGAAAAATAGTTCTAAAAAAAAATTCAGAACAATAATTATTGCAACCGTTAACAACCACTGCAATAAATAACAACAGAGCACTGAATTGTTCCATTTAATAAATTATAAGGCAATAAAATTGTAAACATTGGTATCTAATGAGTAGAATACTTAAATTTAATGCAATAAGGTAGTAACATAATTATCATTAAAAAGCGGTCTTTTGCTTTGAAATAGTCAGAGACATCTTGGAAAGAGCTCAAAACAAATAAGCATCATTTTATGGCTCAATCGCACGCACCACAGAATTAGGTTTTGATATTGAAGATTGGCTAAAAAAGGCATTGTCATATTAAGTGCTATGTAGTCAGGGCAGGAATTAGAGTCAGAGCCTACAATGACCCTTAAAATTGGTTTAACCTTAGAACAGAATGAGACTCAGATTGACAACACTAATATTTTTTCAGATTCCAAGTTTCAAGATTACTCAAATTTCCAATATTTTTCATAAAATTTCCCAACTTTTTCCTGGCCTGATGAAAAGTCCTGACGATTCCTGTTATTCTGGACTCATAGATACCCTAAACTAACATGCAGGACTTCATCCGTTGTGCTTTATGAAAGTCCATATTATTTATTGTTTTTCAGCAACTTGGCGTTACGATCAATATCTTTGTTTTAGCCTTTATCTTTAAGAATCAACGGTCAAAACATTCTGTAAAACTAGCAAGAGACCCATAAAATTACTTGTCAATTTATTTGCTCCAAGCAAAAAGTTTACCCATTATTGTCTGATCTTGAATCACACTGATGACTCACCAGTACAGTGATTTCACACATACATATTAATGCTAGTCAAATATTCTTTAATATTTTTGAGCAAAAGCTTCAAACTGTTTCAAATACACTAGGCGCTTCCTTAATATCTCAAAAGGCACAACAAAATACGCAATTTCAGACACGCTGGACGATTAAAAATATTCTTGGAAAACCAACATACCATCGCAAAAAGAGCTAGATATTTTTTGTAATGAGCTTTCCTGGTGATTCTTAAAGAATACCATTGCACTTCTTGTTCCTTTCAATTGTATATTTGTAGGCTTGTTATTACTAACATGGTGGTGTTTCAAACTTGAAAAAAAAGAAACAAAGCTTTCGGTCTTCCTTCATAAGCTATATATAATAATATACTGTGACCCAAGTTTAAAAGCCCAGACGTTACTTCCATTTATTCTTTCATCTTTGAGAATACTGTGGTTGAGTTACAGTAACCCGGATGAACATTCAGGAAGAAAAGACTTTTCAGACTTCCTCATGAAAGTTCTTGATAATTTGATCAAAATTGGCAGTGATTGAAAACAAACAATTTGAAACTACTTAAACTTCAGTCTGCGGTATACCATTACTTTCAATGGTTCGGCTTTTCGATCGCTTGATAGGTGGTGTGCGCGAGGCTTTGGCATCACCGGTCGGAATGGTACTTACGTAACCTGCCTCTTCTTCCTTTAAAGATGATATACTTCCAGTTCGCAGTGATGGCGTTGAGTAAGTTTTTCTTGAGTCTAAAGTATTTGTTTGGGTACGGGGCTTCATCCCAGCAGAGCTGTCCCGGTAACCGTAAATATTACTTGTGCTGCGATGGTTCCTATTTTCGATTCCAAAGTTCATTTCTGATTCGTCTCGCAAAGAAACATCACAGCTGTAATAGGGTGTGTTAGTCCTGCGAACAATTAAAGACTAAGCGTAAGAATATGTGTTTTGGTAATGTGTTAGAAATTTTTGAAAAGAATTATTCTGAGAGGGCAAAGAAAAATTCAACAAAAATTTGTGCAGTGGCGATTTCTAAGGATATTTTCAAAGAATAACCTGAGATACAAAATCTGCAAAATCGCAAACAGAGATAAACTTTACACAGTTTCTAATACAAATTACAAAATCAGCGATATTTTACTCAGTTTTATAGTCATTCATGACTTACAAAACAATTTGCAAGGAAAGTAAAGTTTAAAATAATTGTGTGGCAATGTTGCAAGGTTTTGCTCAATAACGTTCATCTTCATTCATTGAAAGGTGCATATAGCATGTTAAAAATTTCAGAGTATTAGTAACAATAAAAATTCACTAGATATTCTAAAGTAAAATTAGCAACCATTCTGTAGTAAATGAGTAAATTGTCAATTTAATTATAATTAACTTATTAAAAGTAACCAGGGCCCACAAGTCTCAATGCAAGTAAGTCCCTTAGTCTCCAGCCTCTACAAATCTTACTTTTGAATATAAAATCATAAGAGCAGCACATAACATATAATGTCTGAGGTGCGAACCGCTTTATGGGGTTGGACCATGAAGCGGTTAGGGGCCGTAACCTCCTAGTTATATTCAAGTTTCCTTGGCTGAAGCTGTAAGTGCTTTGCCTAATTGCAATGCTGAGTTATATCCCACTGTCAATCAATCAGATTTGATTTTTGTTCATTGAGATTCATTAATATTATTATGATTATTACTCAGTATCAAGAAATCTGGCAATGGAATAAAAATACTGATAACTTACCTTTTCACATTTCTCCATAGCATACAGAAAATGACGACAGCAACAAGTAAGATTAGACAAAGTGTTGACATACTCCAAAAAGCGATTTGCAGTGGAGCTCTTGGTTCCCAAAAGAACTAAACACAGAAAATCCAAACGATACAATTTTGATGAGGAATATTAATTAATACGACCCATTACTCAGCAGAAAGAATCTGTCTACATTGAAAGATTTGTAAGAAGAGTGTATCACTTACAGTGCTACAGATGGAGATGAGATTTTTTTAAAATTAATTGAAGTAGATAGATTACTTCCACTCAGTGGCCTCCAACGAATAATGTCATTAATATCGACTGTAAACAATGGCTGGTTCATGGAACTCAAGTTCTGGTAAAACTTGAGCATAAATTTGCGCTTCTTCGAAGAAAAGATACCAAAAAATAGTGAATATATTCAACAGGTCAAAGAAGCAAATAAAAGTGTGCTACATCAAGAGTTAAGTTATCGAAATTGTGTAGCATTGACCTAATTGAATGCAATCTTATCCAATTTTCGAAAGATTTGATTTCAAGGATTGTAAAATGTTTTTAATACTTAAACTGAATAGGTATGACAACAATGCAAAATGTCTGCTTGTAATTCGTTTTTTTTGCAGAAAAATAATAACCTTTAAGCTCGAAAGTATTCTCTGATGATTTTCTTTCTTTTTTTATGAATGGTGCATACACTCCCTGGATTACAAAAATTACTCAAATTAAAGATACACTTACAATAAAACAAAACGGAGGGAGGGGGGCTAAAATAAAGACCATAAAACATACCTCAGTAGTTGGAGGATAAGTCGGGACGTATGTACCAATGACGTACGGCAAGTATGCCCACCAAAATGCAGACTCAGTTTGCCGATAATTGTACATTATTGTGGAATTAAACGTCGTGTTGAGGTTCAAGTACTTAAATTGCCCAGCTGTCGCTTTTTCAAAATGTATTCCAAGAATTTGCTCGTATGTTGGATTTCTAAAGAAAAAATGAGATAAATAATGGAGTAAAAACGATGAAAGGTTGCGTAAAGAACACAGAAATGAAGGACAGAAAGCACCTAGATCAATTTGATGGGATGATGGGTCTAAATAGATCAAAATGCCTCTGCAGCTGCTTTCTGATTGGCTGCAACAAGTGTTGCATCAAACAGCATAACTGCAAGGGGTACTCGAATGAGTTTTTTCCCTCTAAAGCAAGTCTTTGCATAATGCAGAGACGTGACGTCACCTTGGCTGATTTATAAGATCATTCTCTGATTCTATGTCTTAATCCTTTAGATAGATTAGATTAAAGAATCTAATCTATCTCTAATTCTGCGTCTAAAAACCGAGAATAGGTTAGCTCATGTTCAGACACCATAAAACAGAAATGTTGGGAGAAGTTATTCTTGAAAGATATGCACGTCAACTCTTGCAAACTAGCAAAGTAACTTTTTTAGGACCAATCACTCTGCGCTCTTTCAAATTGATGATTTTATAGTTATCTACTTATCCTCGCAGCCTATGTTGTCAATCATGGAGCAGAATTTTGAGATTGGTGAAATGAAATTATTTCTATTTCAACAATAAGTAAAGTAATCTGTCTCTTGGATAGTTTCGCAGAACTCAATGGAACTTTAAGTTTACATTTCATTATAGCTTTTAGTTATTGGTCTGATTATTGATTGACAAACCCCTTGAGGATTTTTTATCGTTTTTAGATCTCCGTGTCGGGTTGTTTTAGAAGATGCTAGCAACATTGTATTAAACATTGGTATTTGTTTGAAACCTACAAAATGCAGGTGGTCATTGATCCCTTGATATTAAACAATGATGCTTTCTAGTTGCTTGTATTCTGAGCAGAATATTGCCCACAGCTGAAATCGTTTTGATCTGGTTCTGTGAAAGGGATCTAACTCAGAGCAAAACAATTATTTCATTATGATGTAACTGATTAAATACTTACCCATATTTTGCAAAGTTTGAATAAGCTTTCATGAAAAAGTGACTCATGTTCCTATCATTGTCGGTCCACATATTCCTTTCAAGATGGGCGCTTGGAGGGAAAAATTCTGAAATGGAAACAGAACCAGGTAAAATTTTAAAGATATTTTAAAAATCACAGCAAGGGGCAGGAATTTTGGTAACAACTTAATTATGTACAATTAATTGCAGTATGCAAATGATTTGACTTAGTATGTACATAGGATAGGTATGATTTATACTGCAAAAAGTACCGATACACCATTTCTGGCAGATTGATTTTATGCATCATCGCTGAATTCCATATTTGCCTAGCAAAAGTGTCTATTTTGGGGCACTTTTTCCAATAAGAGTTGAAAAGATAAAGAAAGACTTGGTTATGAAATTTGCTTCCTGTTAGCCTTGTTCTGCAAATCACAAAAACTGGCTTTTTTATGCAGCTCAGGATGAGATTATTCAAAAAGGCTTCTGAGGCAAAAAGTTGTGTACCTGTGTCCATGAAGGGTGCTCCAGTGAGGAAGTAATGTTCGATGTTGTGAGGGTATTTCCTCCATTCAGGCAGGCGCAAAGCTTCGACCGTTGTATTCATGACGTACATATATGTAGGAACGTCTTGACTGACGAGGAGTTTTACGATGTGATCAACAGGAGCTCTGAAGAGAAAGTCTGACAACATCTATAGAAAAAATAAAAAATGTTGATAATTCACTTGATGTAGTGATCGAACAATCAACCGAAGGAAATCCCAGGCTGTTCACTTAACAGGTAATGAATTTCCTAACTATAGGGGTTTTTATGGACTAAAATGGCAAAATTCCTTGATCTTCTCATGAAAATGAGCCAGGCTGATAGAAATTTGCTCATTAGCAGTGTTAACCTCCTTTCCCCTTTTAACTTCCAGACTATCACCTAAGGAGTAAAAACTCTCAACCAGTCATTTGGCGCAGTTGGCAATTTCGCGCGCTAAGTACTCAATTCTACATTATCTTTTATGCAAAGGTTAAACATTTGTGTAAAAATGTATGCATGATTCCTAACGAGGGTTTTGGCAGGGACCCAAAAAATCGAACAATGTGTCTAAAAATATTTCGTAAAATATTGTAAAGACAGTCAACTGTAATGTACAAATCATGCGTATATTAATAGAATATAAAACTTTGTTTTCTTAATCTGAACTGTTGGACCCGGTCATTAGACTTAGAAATAAAAGGAAATAGGAATTAAAAAAAATCTAATGGGCCACAATAAACAGTAAGAGGTAACAGGAAGATAAAAGGAAAAATTCTGCTATAGAATTCTAGACTACGCTTAAGTTTATGGTGAAACAATATAATTATTGGAATAGATAATCAGCTTACATTTATGTATTGCTCCCTGATGTAGTAGGGATTGTCAGGATCCGGCCTATGGGTGTACATGAATTTGATGGCATGAAAAACCCCTTCTTGATTCAGCGTGTAATTATATTGAAGAATCAATTCACGTAGCTTTTGGTCAAAGAATTTTTGATCGATTTCATAATATGGAGCCAGGTGCCTGTTTGCATCATCCACTGAAACATTAAGAGGAAAAGTTGAAGTTTCATTTTTTTCTCTTCTTGTGGAGCTGTTTACTTTTTATTTTTCCCCCTACAAGGGAAAAGAGATTGTTTCTGACTGAGAGAGGACTAAAAAATGAAATGAAATTCAAAAGAAGATAGGCAGAAGATCTTTCAAACAACCTCCACAATTATCCTTATCTCATATTTTTTCTTAAGATTCCTGTAAAAAGGATAATTAAAAAATAAAAATATCTTAACTAAATACTAAATAGGCTTCATGATATTTTGATTTATTGATGCCAGATTAACCCGTAGTCATGCACAATGTTTGCTATTTTTTTCTTTGGATTGTGACGATTTTGACAGAGTTTTGAAGTCTCCACTCCCGTTTTATTCTATCTAAGGGAAATAAACCAACGCTACAGCTAAAAATTTTCAAAGAAAACTTTTCACACTAAGAAGCAAGATCAGGAGAGTTTTAAAAAAATGGCAGAGTATTTTTTCATTTAAAAAAAAAAAAAATGACAGGAAGTCTGCAATGATGATACGTGTTCCTACAGTTTCACCATCAAAATCCTTCAAATTGGTCAGCAAATTTTGGGACAAAGTTGATTGTAGGAATGTTTATAGATTGGAGATAAAATAGTAACAATGGCTTTGACATAAGTTAGATAAAAGGAGAGGGGCGAAGTACTCACAAAGAAAGTAGGCAGCTTCCTGGGTAGTAACACCTGTCATGTATGAAATATATCGGTTAAAATTCTTTGCTTTAATATCTTGTTCTGCAGTGAAGTTAGTGAATCGCCAATCTTTGCTGTTCCAACCTTCATACCACCAGTCTGCAGGTACGGATATGTTCAAATCCAAAACCGGTCCCCATGGTATCAAGCCAGCTTGTGACTGAAAAAGAGGGTGATATATTATTCTTACGCAGATTCTCCTTAAGCTATGACAGAAACTGGCAATCAAATGTGATTGTAAAGTCCTAAGGTTAGATGTCACAAAGTACACTGAATGACCCTTTTATTATGGTTGATGCAGAACACATTGATGGATTCCATTGAAGCCAATATACCAACATTAATTGGGGAGACAAATTTTCTGAATTTTTAAAAAATGAAAAGCCCACAATTTCAACAAAGAAGGTGCAAAAACATCTTACAATATGCTGATTACAAAATGTTTGAAGCACTCTGAATTTCCTGATCTATTGAATTTAAATTTTTTTACATTTTCTTGACTTTACTTGATTATGTTGAAAATCTTGATATTCACCTGTTTTTTCCGGGGTTTTACGGACAGTAAAAACCCTGGCAAATCTGAGTTGAGCTAAAGAAGAAAATTTCATTTTACATTAATGGTGTTTCACCGAGATTGCCTAAGCCCTTTTGGAGGCCAAAGGGACTAAACCGTTGAATCACAAAAGATTACAAATTGCGACAAGATGAATTGAAGCCAAAAGAGGGCATTACATTAATTGAGCTTAAGAAATTAGAAAAATTCAAGTCAAGATTTGACGACTTACTGCGTTGAACCAGCCATCTCCGATTTCATCTGCACTGCGGGCTTTCTTCAAACAATCCAGCATTTTTCCTGTTGTCTCGATCGAGCATCCCAGATGCTGGGCAAATATCCGACTTGTATTCAATGCTTTCCAGCGATCATTTACTAAAGCCCAACTAGCTGTTGCTGATCCACTCTGGAGAATTATTTGTCAAAAATTAGATTAAAAGAATAACAAAGTGGCAAAGAATGTAGTTTACTTGATGAAAAATTTCGTAAAAAAACTAAAAAGTTCATTAATAAGTTGAAGAAAATCATTTCTAAGGGAAGAAACAGCTAAACAAAAGCTGACATTAGAGTTGACATAGCAAGACAATGCCTGATACGAGTTTAGTAAATCAGCGAACACCGTTTCTCCTGCCTGCCAAAAATATCGTTCCAAACGGGTCCCATTTTCGGGCATTATCAAAACGGGATTCTTCTGCCATGCAGACTTTAAAAAATTCTGAAAAATTCCTAGAAAGCTCAGTTCACTCCGCACTTACAGAAAAAGAATAAAAGAAATTTGGTACCACAGACCTATTGTGAATTTTTGTGGACTAAAGTCCTTCTTCCTGAGGATGGTCCCGTATTGAATATTTTTTTGTTGTTTTTTTTTGTTGCACATCATTTTTGAATAAATTTATAAAATGAAAATATTAGATGCAGAGCTAATTCATACCTTGAAAACTGGTCCATTCAAGGAAAATTAATTATTTTCTAATTACTGCTACAGAAAGCTATTACAAAAAACGTATGATTGATTTTAATACCTGAGCTATGACTTTAGAGATCATGTGTCGCGTGCGAGGATTCACCATGAGCAGACCAGCAGATGCGGCTCCTGCATCAGGGCCAAACAATGTGATCGAATTTTTGTCACCATTGAAAAACTCAATGTTGTCGTACACCCATTGCAAGGCCATGGCTTGATCGAGGATTCCATAATTACCTGGTGAATTGTCATCTCCTGTGCTTAAAAATCCTGGAATGGCATGAAAGAAAAATTAGTAACAATTGGAGAAACCTTGTATTCAAATAAAAAAATAGGGACTAAAGAGGCCAATGAGAGATTTGAATTTTAAATTGCGGTAAAGTTAATGTCTAACACGAAACAAACAAAGCTGAAAATGATTCTGTAAAGACCTTAATATCAAGTTGAAGGATGGTAAAATTTAGCATAAAAAAGGTTTGTGCATTTGAAAATAATCTGGAGTTGGCTTGTCATGTTTTCTTTCATTTAGTAGTTTGTCATTTGATGTAATTACTAGATACAAATAGGTGTATATGGGGCATCCACAGCAAAAGATACTTTTTTCACAGATTGACACGTTTTTATATGTTTGTAAGGCAGTACGGGTATCACACTGCATGTGTTCTCAGTTAAAACAGCCTTTGAAGAGGTGCTAAAGCTAACTTTTTGCTCCACTTTAGAAAGAAAGGAAAGATGATTTTGACTATACCTTGATACTTTCTGTGCTTCATGATGAAAGAGCTGCACTATCTAAATGTAAGTTCATTTTGGACCCGAATATCAAGATTGTTTTATCAAACGGCCCCACAGTAACAAGCAGCTTTACTACAGCACTCAAAGTGAAAGTTGTACATACCACATCAATTCAACGATTCCTTGAATCATTAACTCAGTTGCAGTTAAGTTAAAGTGCGATGAATATTGATATTGTTTGCGTATATGTACAAGGATGCAAAGAATACCTCAAAGAGAAATCTTAGAAATTTTACCCAAAGCTCCAAGGCGGTAGTTGAATGTAACCACAACGACATCATAGAAACCAGCCAAGATATGAGCAGGAAATAGATTTGAGGCTCCATGGGAAAAATCTCCACCATGTATGTAAAACATTACTGGATACTTCCGTGCTAAACCAGATTTTGTCTGTGAAGTTAAAATTAGGCAAATTCAAGTATCTATAAAATTGAAGCAAATGTAAGGAAAAATGACGATGAGAATAGGTTCTTATTTTTTAATAGACTTGTAAAACAGACTGCACAAGATGCTAAAATGACTAAAATGATTAAAATTCAACTTGCAGTGATGAGTATTTAAAACATAATAGTTTATGTGCAAGTAAGTTTTAATAGTTTTTAATAATTTTGGTAATTTTATTTTTCATTTCTACTCCTTTCCTTTTCCAGAAAAACTTATTGGATTGTTTCAGTAATAAAATACCGAACAGTAATGGTACAAAGAAGTAGTAAAATAGAGTTAAGTACTCAAGGTAAGAAAACTATTAAGGAATGATTCAATTTGCGGTAACGTTATGTTTCTTGATTAAAAAGCGGAGATTGGTATTTGAACACAAGAAATTAAACCAAGGAAGTAAAACTCAAGAAGGTAATTTAAGGCGGGGAAGTAGCGCGTTTTCCAGACCTAGTTGAAAATCTTTAATTTTCCTTGAAAATTTAGCCTCCTTTCAATGTGTGACTTGTAATCTCACAATTCTATTAACCTTAATAACGTTTCTGTCATCTTCAATATATTTTATATGAACAACTTAAGAATCCTACCCTATTTTTACTGTGACTACAGACCTTTAAAAATTGAAAACGTCACACAGACATGATGGATACTTACATACGGTGAATAAACATTCAAGTATAGGCAATCTTCATGGACTGCACGAACACCTTTGAAAGCACCAGTGTATTTTATATGTTGGGGGCACGCTGGTCCAAAATCAACAGCTTGAATTGCTTGCCATACCGGGTGAGGTCTGGGAGGCTAAAAAAAAAAAAAAAAAAAAAAAAAAAAAAAAAAAAATGGATAAATTAAATATCAGATTTGTTAACTAATTATTAATTACTGAGGACACATCCTGTAGAAACGTACTATTGTGTAAAACAAGCAGTCAATTGTGAAAACTATATTGTAGAAGCTCCACATAACATCAAACAGCGGGAAATTCTAGAACGTAAAAAATTGTGCTAAAGAAATATATGATGGCCAATTGTACAGTCAACGCCACCAAATCTGTTGCTACAGTATTTTATTAGTTGAAATGGAGTCAGATTTTTAGTGCATTTAAATGATGAATGAAAGTGGATTATGTAGCTTCATTGCAGATATTTTCTGTGTGGGATGAATTTTTTACTTTGTGTTGTTAGTTTTGGTTCCTCCTTGAAATTTTACAGGGAAAAGTTTCTGAGAAAATAATTATTTCTAAATCTTGTTTACTGGCCCATTCTTAATGCCTACTGCTTTGAAATTGTATAAGTTTGTAGATTAAATGAGGCAGTTTTGCCGAGTGGAATGTAAGTTTATTGCTTTATTTAAAGCTACCTGTGACAAACCATGAACGAGCAGAAATGAATATTCCTTTCAATTTAAGCAAAATTTTTTCCAATCAATAATTTACCTAACATACCTTGAATCTTCCATCTCCGATAGGTGGTAATGCATAAGGAATACCCAGAAACACAGATACGTTTCCTTTGATGTGTTCGACTGGCGTCATTCCAGGTCTGTAGCCATCTTTCGGGTCAGGGTTATCATACAGAAAAACCTAAAGTAGAAAGACAATTGTATGAACAAGCGGAAAATGATGCAAATAAAGTAAGTGAGGTAAAAAACAAAAACCCTAAATGATACAGGATTGTCACTGGGTTTGGGCAATGAAATTCCCTGACATACTTATCTCTTATTTCCCTGAAAATTGCGGGTATCCCAGATGTTTAAGACACAATTTGAAATAGTTTTAATTTAGATCACAATTATTCTACATGTATACTTTGAGTCCATTGTCAGTTCTTCTGATTGTTGTTTAACTCCCCCGACAAACACACTTAGACATCAAACAATTTAAGATACTTAAAAAATCCAGCACACTCGAAATAAACCCACCTTGAATCCTTGAATTTGACCATAGTTGGTTTCAACAATAATATCTCTTTCCAACTCATTCCAGCCTGGACGCTTTTTGCCCTGCAGATCTGGCCGCCATATACCCAATACTCCTGGTAACTGTGCCAATTTGTTGGTAAACTGAAAATAAAAATAGGAGAGCATTTACTTAAAGTTTAGAGCAAGTTTTAAAAAAAAAATAAATAAAATTGAAGGTTTCATGATGATGGCTGGACATCACACTTTAAATTTTTTTTTTTTTTTTAAAGAGATACAAGAAGAATAGCTTCACCGGCTGAGATTTTATGAAAGATGATGACCATCACTAGAAACTTCATCCTCTTTCCTGTCACAACGAGAATTCTATGAATAACAGGGGGAACAAAGTCAATGTTCTTGCAGTAAATCTGAATGTAACATGAGAGCTCAGAAAGAGAGCTACTTTCTTTCGGTCTGAATATTTTGCCAGTGATTATTTTTGAGCAAATGATGAAACTGTATGTGAAAGCACAATGAAAATGGTGACATATTCAGGCAATAATTACAAAAAAAAATTGAATATGAAAAAGACACTGGATGAAACTTTTAGTGAAGCTGGCAAATCTTGTATTTCTGTTTGCGACATTGCAGATCTCAGGTCACATTTCACTTTTTTGACAGGTAGGTGATGGATCATTCTCACTTGTCAACATTTTGTATACTAAGTATTTCTTTACCATTTTCAGAATATTTTCTGAAAATTTTGAGTAAAATAATTCAGTAATATAATTTTCAAGACATAAAAACTGAGTAGAAATGTTGAAATACTGCAGTGAAAATCTGCGTTTGTACAGGTCCAGTATGGAAATACCACCTCCGAGCGCTGGAAATTTGATGAGAGAACACTATTTTAATTACGGTCTTGTTTTGGACCTATTCTAAATAGTTAGCCTTTCATCAGCTTATTGATTGATTTGACTGGGGCTCATTTGTTTTCTACTACTTAAAAATGTTTGAGATCAATGTAAACAAGATGGTACTCTTGATTGCATAATATTCTCATGAATCGGCACACATCCTTACTTGATTCACATTCATTGGAAATCTTTGAATGGTGGATAAAGCTAGCGATAAGTGATAGAAAATATTAAAATCGTACATTTTAGACTTGCGTAAGGACTGATAAAAAACTAAACTGCAGAGAAAGTAGTTCATAACGCTCAGTCGGGTTGCAGTGACAAAATCCTTGATAAGGACGCATTTGCAATCATAAATGAAGTTCTAGGATCGTTGATTCCTTCAAAAAATATTAAAGGGACTGGAATCAAGAGGAAGAACTTTGGAATTTAAGATCCAGAGAGAAAAAATGGAAATGATCAAAAACTTACATCCTCTCCTAACTTATACGTTTCATCGAAGTTGGTCGAATAAGGGTTGTTTACATTAGGATTGTACTGGTTTGGATATTGGCTGGGAAATTGAGCGTTTGGGTCGAAATTAGGTTGATATGGACGATTTGGCGGATAGCCGAGTTCTGGAGGAGCAACTGGCTGACCATATCTTCTGCTGTTGTAAATGTAAGTTTTGGGCAAGTGCTGAGGTTCACCATCTGTTGACTGCCCTGGGAAATAATTTCCTCTGTCTCCATAATACTGACAACAAACACTCGACAAACAAACACTTAAAAACACGAATAGATGCATTGAAACACTCAAACTACCACTATCAAGAGACCATAATTTTACAATTCGTACGAACTTTTTGAACACAACGGCCATTTTGATGGCATTGTTTACAATCGAGTTGAGGTTATTTCACTACTACACCCGCAAGTCAACAGGAGCAATACGAGGGGACACGCCCGCGCGCGCTGATTCAACGGTGCAACGTCAGTACCCCCTCTCCCCCTCCCGTCATTCCGCACCCTACACTAATTACTCACTTCATTTCATTCATAAAATCGTGAAATTATGAATCATGACACGTCGTTCCGCTGCTACAATGAACCCTGCGAACGTATGAACAGGAAGTGACGTTGTCAATGAGTTAGTAATTGCATACTCCATGCGCGACCAAAATGAGACACCACATTCCTTCTTACCAAAAACTGATAGAAGAAAAAAAAAAAATCCACCAAAAAAGTAAATGCAGCAATAGTTGACTCGTCGATTTTTCAAGAGGAGCGGAAGAAGGGGTGAAGCGAAGAAGAAACGGATGTTATGGACACTGCTACTTCACCTTCAATTTTCAGGGTAGGCCAGAAATCATCTTTAAGGCAGCAATTGTTGGATCGTGTTTTGAATTTTAAAAGGTGCTGTTAAAGAAGCATCTATCAGCATAAGGTAACTAATAACACATACGTTGTTATTAAAAAAAATCTATCAGAAAAGTGAACACACCAAGCTGACTCGCCGAGTTTTCCAGAGGAGGGAAGGGGGTTACGAACAGGAAATGGATACCACAGACTTCTGCTATTTCGCCCTCAATTTTCAGGGTAGGCCAGCAAGCCTCCTAGCTTCAGCGATAGCTGAACTTCATCTTGCAAATTTAGCAAATTTAGGAGGATGATGCGGAAAAGCTCTGAGATACATATAAATGTACGCTATTGCGCTGATGATCCTGTTACACCTGTAAACTGGAAAATTGTTTCCATACCTAATTTTTTTTTAAAACAATTTTTAATTAAAAAACGTCTCTCCAAAAGTCTCCGCTGCAGATATTGATTAGGCAAATCATTCATGATATCCATCAGCCTGCCCGCTCAAATCACATTATTTGGCAACGCTGCACAGTGTGCCTGAATTCCGTGGTGTGTTGCGGTCAGAGAGATCTTCAGGCATTGCGTTTTTAAAAAAAGTTAAAACGCCCTCAGTTTTCTGCATGCAACACGGACATCCCTTGAGCTAGAATAGTTGTATCCAAGCGCTGTTAGAGAGTAACAACGCCTTTACGCGTCAAGGAGCATTAAATATGGTAGTTAGGAGTAAGTTTCAATGATTTTCGTTAAGCGAATCTTGTTTTGCGAGAAATTCAAGTCCAGAAACATGTATTAGAATGCTTAAATTCGTACCGTGCCTACTGGTCCATAGCAAGGTTTACTTTCTTTACCTTGCGTTTAAGTCTCCAGGCCGTACGCTAGAACTGAAGTGATTAGCTTTTTATTTTATTTGCTACTATGTTTGAAAATTGCAAAGTAAAATATGCGCATTCATTTCTAATGACAAATATTTTTTTCGAATATTTTTTGCAACCTGTACATGTTCATACGTAGTAGCGTTCCCCACAATATTATTTAGTAGACGAGGAGTTCTTTTTCTGACAACTGAAGCAATGGAGGTCCCTGAAATTAAAACTAGCTACCGAATTTAAAAACAGATAAAAGAGCCTTCAGAATATATGTGTTTGCAACGAGCACCTTAATAATCGATTCTTTACCATAGTTTCAAATGGGGAAATGATCATTCACACCTCGCCGCTGTAGAGAGAAACAAGACACGACGCGTTGGAATTCGACCGGTTTAATGAATTTAGAGTCACATATGAAGAAGTAAGTAAAGTGATATCTTTGAAAAAATGAAAATGATCGTCATTTTGAGTATATAAATCCGAAGTTTGAATAGTTGCGCGCTTGATTTCCGCTTTCAACGATGCGCGTATATTAATGCGAGTAATATTGCGATATGCGAGTATTTCGAGACAAGAGAAAAGCTAAAATTTTACTTCTTTTCTGCGTAATTCCGCATCACAAACCTAGTTCGGAGTTCAAATAGTTGCGTTATTGATTTCCGCATTCAACGATGCGAGCGTAATGCCTACATTCATGAACGTTGGCAAGAGACTAGTGAAGAGCTAAGATTTTCCCTCATTTCCGCGTGATACCACATCTCATACATATATCGGAGTTCGAATACCTAGGCGCTTGATGTCCGCGTCCAACGATGCGCGTGTATAATGTTGTTGTTGTTATACCTTCATAAACGTCGGTAATTTTAGACAAGTGAACAGTTAAGATTTTCCTTCATTTCTGCGTGATACCACATCACATACCTACTCCGGTTGACTGATTGTGAGCTCAAGATACATTTCACGAGAACATTAAACACTGAGCAACATTAAACATTGACACAACATTTTTCTTTATTTTGCGTTAAAAGTGATAATGGAGGTTACCAAGGTTTCGCATTTGTTTTTAACTTCAAATACGTTTGTCTCGAAATCATTAAAATCATCAATCTATCTTAACTCTTTTATCTATGATAACTTCTATAATTCATTAAAATTCATTCAAACTCTAGAAATCAGTATCGATGTGATTGTGGGGCATTTTCGATGGAAGATTCGATTGTCAGTCAATCAATCGATAGTTTCTGGATTTTTTTTTATGCCTGTTAAGAACAATACCTTTATTATTCAAGGGTCAATGACTTTCCAATTTATGATTTTAATACAACATTAACCTTCTATGACTCAAAGTGGAATTGAGTTTAGATCAAATGAATCGCAATCAGCAAAAAGAAACCAGCAGTGTTTTCAAAATCGTGCAGCCTTTTCCTTTCTTTCAAAAATTCTTGACATCCGATCTGAATTTACACAATTATTGTCCTTTGAAATGATCAATTTTTTGGTGCGAAGCAACAGCTATTTTCTATCCTGGGAGATTTTTTAAATAATCGTAAAGAAGCTTAGAAGCAACATTTCTACAACATTAATCGAGCTGGTTCCTTTTTGCTAAATGTGATTCAAATTACGAACAGAATTCTCTGAAAATTTGGAAGAAAAACATTCACGAAGCCCGAAAATTTGTGATTCGTCAAAGGAAGTTTGGCATGGTCTAAAGGCTCATACGGCATTTTTCTTCAACACAGCGGTATAGCGTAAATGTTATCACAGCAAAAACGCCGTAACTCCATTTTATTTTTTCTCTGCTAAATGTTATATTACAGAAAAATCACAGATGCATTCACTCCTCACACGGAGAAAAAAACTTCGTGCATGGGACCCGAAGTTGAGGTCATATGGATCTCTGAAGTTTTCTGATCACGCATCCGAAAACTTGAGGTCGAGCTGCCGAAGTTCGAGGTGCCGGGGTACTTCAGATGTGTGACCCGAACCCTTCGGTATATCTTGAAGTACTTCAGATGTCTGACCCGAACTTTAGCAGCTCGACATCAAGTTTTCAGATACGTGATCCGAAAACTTCCGAGATCCATATGACCTCAACTTCGGGTCCCACGCACGAAGTTTTTTTTTCCGTGCATAATTTTAGAGTAATTACGATACATCTCTGAGAGCTCAAACTGTCAAAATGAAGCATTATGGCAACACGGATTTATTGTAATAGAACAGTATGTGTGAAAGAAAAATGAAAATATTGATTGGAGTTACGGCGTTTTTCCCGTGGACGGCAGATCACTTCCCCTCTGTTCATCGACAAAGGGCATTACCCGCAGGAGAAGACCGCCGTGATGCCGTGAGTCGTGGCGTGGCGCTCCCCGTGAGCGGAACTCGAACTAAAAATCAGAAACAGTCAAACCTCGCCCTCCCCTTTCATTCGCTCGCTGAACTTCGCGGTCCGCGGTCATTGTCCCCGCGCAATCTCCTCATCCGCGAGTTTCACGTGTTTTTCACGATCGTCCTCGAGCACCCGCTCAATTTCCGCGTAGTGAAATTGTGCTCATTCTCTTCACAATTTGTTTTCAACTTCAACACCGTTGTGTTCGCTATCCGGTGCTCGTGTGTGTTCGCTCGAACCTGCATCCATCCGGCTCAAATTATCTATAGATTCACCCTTAAAAAGTAGTATTCGTGATTATTTTGGAAATCCCGGTTTACGGTTTCCTCCATCTGGTGTACCGCGGTTATGAGTGTGTTGACATCTTGATGTTGGAAAGTTTTTAATGGTTGTCTAGGTCGTCCAAGAAGTGCTCTAATTTCGGTCTACGCCAGTGCGACCCATCATTCTTTTCAATTTTTACGTGAATAGCAACTGAATTTGTTTGTTGTTTTATTTTATGTGATCTTATGGAATATTGAGCGTGATCGGTTCAGGATACTATCTTTTCTATCGATATGACGTCATAGATAGCATCCCTCAAAGCAGACTGAGGCAGCTGTTATCGATAAACTATGCGTCCTGCGTCTTAGATTCGTGCGGGTGGTTTTTTTTGCGAGTGGCCCACAGCCGAGTTTATCCTTGTTGAGTGTTTACTTTGGTGCGCGATGGCCAGTGAAAACATGTCGGTAGCGGCCCCGACTGTGGAGGTGCAGATATCGACCCTCCTGGATAAGATCGAGGCGATGCGGCAGGAGCAGTTGCAGGCCGGGCCGCCGCGGCTCCTCCCGATGCAGGCGGAGATGCGGACCCTGGAATTTTGGCGCTCGGTCATCGCCGAGTGCATCGCGACGTTCCTTTTCGTCTTCATCGTCAGCGGCGCCGCCTCCAGCTCCGTCACCGGCGGATCGCCCACCTCCACCACGCTAGCCGCCGCCTGCGCCGCAGGACTCTCCGTGGCGGCGCTCTCGGCCTGCTTCTACCATGTCTCCGGTGAGGTTTTACCTGTATTTTCGGCCCGTGGTCGATGGTCAAAGTGCGAAACCACGCACTGAAGAAAAATTCCGGCCGTGGAAGCCGTTCTTACGGGCTGTAGGCATACCGTCTGCGTTCCGGGCTCAGAGGCCGAAAGTTCCGGGCGTAGCACCCGGAGTAATAGAAACTACGGTTCAAGCACCCGGAACTTTCGACCTCTGAACCCGGAAAGGACGGTATGTCTATACAACTCGTAACTTTTTTTTCAGTGCGTATCCCCATTGCGTTCACTGGGAAAAAGAACACGTTGGATCTAGAGTCCAGACTCTTAAAAACATCGACAAGAAAAAATACTCTTGATTCTATCAGAATCTAGCTTAAATCAAGAACCGAGCCTCTTAATTTAGGCGGATTTCGTTTTGATTTAAACAAAAATCCGATTGAATCAGGGGTATTTTTTCTTGTCAATGTTTTCAAGAGTCTAGACTCTAGATCCAATGTGTTTTTGTTTTTTTTTCCAGTGCGGCTATATAGACATACCGTCCGAGTTCCGGGCTCAGAGGCCGAAAGTTCCGGGCTCAGCACCCGGACTAATCAAAGCGACGGCTCTAGCACCCGCAACTTTCGACCTCTGAACCCGGCACGGACGGTATGTTCATATAGCCAGCAACTTTTTTTTCAGTGCGTACCTCCATTGCGTTGTTTCAACATTTCTGCTAAAGATAGGGGACCGTCCCCGAATTACGTTAAGCTCTTGAGGGGAAGGAGGTCAAGAGAGCGTTACGTTATTACGTGTTGAATGATAGGGACCTCCGTCACAAAAGCGTTACAAGAGGGAGGGGGGTGTCAAAAATGCCAAAAAAGTGCGTCACGAAATTTAGGGACGGCCCATTAAAGCTTAAAATTTATGCAGGACATTCTGCGAATGGGGAAGAAAAATCTTGAAAGTTTTCGGAAAAGTACGCCGACTGGTTTTCCAAAANTCCCCCAATATCGTTCGTTTGAGTGCACTAGTTTCGGCCTCCATGGCCAGCCAAGGTCGGCTGCCAGTCAGCTGATAATCGAGTTGTCGTTACTCTGGGTATAAAGGACTCTAGAGGAGGGAGGGGGGTTACGAACAGGAAATGGATACCACGGACTTCTACTATTTCGCCCTCAATTTTCAGAGTAGGCCAGCAAGCCTCCTAGCTTCAGCGATAGCTGAACTTCATTCTGCAATGTTAGCAAATTTAGGAGGATGATGCGAAAAAGCTCTGAGATACATATAAATGTACGCTATTGCGTTGATGGTCCTGTTACACCTGTAAACTGGAAAATTGTTTCCATACCTAATTTTTTTTAAAACAATTTTTAATTAAAAACCGTCTCTCCAAAAGTCTCCGCTGCAGATATTGATTAGGCAAATCATTAATGATATCCATTAGCCTGCCCGCTCAAATCACATTATTTGGCAACGCTGCACAGTGTGCCTGAATTCCGAGGTGTGTTGCGGTCAGAGAGATCTTGCACACAACACGATGCCCCTTAAGCACAAAGAGGTGCATCGTGCATCCAGGCATTGTGTTTTTAAAAAAAGTTAAAACGCCCTCAGTTTTCTGCATGCAACACGGACATCCCTTGAGCACGAATAGTTGTATCCAAGCGCTGTTAGAAAGTAACAACGCCTTTACGCTTCAAGGAGCATTAAATATGGTAGTTAGGAGTAAGTTTCAAAGATTTTCGTTAAGCGAATCTTGTTTTGCGAGAAATTTAAGTCCAGAAACATGTATTAGAATGCTTAAATTGGTACCGTGCCTACTGGTCCATAGCAAGGTTTACTTTCTTTACCTTGCGTTTAAGTCTCCAGGCCATACGCTAGAACTGAAGTGATTAGCTTTTTATTTTATTTGCTACTATGTTTGAAAATTGTAAAGTAAAATATGCGCATTCATTTCTAATGACAAATATTTTTTTTTCGAATATTTTTTGCAACCTGTACATATGTTCATACGTCGTAGCGTTCCCCATAATATTATTTAGTAGGCGGTGAGTTCTTTTTCTGACAACTGACCACAACTGAAGCAATGGAGGTTCCTGAGCTACCGAATTTAAAAACAGATGAAAGAGCCTTCAGAATTGATTTGTTTGCAACAAGCACCTTAATAATCGATTCTTTACCATAGTTTCAAATGGGGAAATGATCATTCACTCACACCTCGCCGCTGTAGAGAGAAACAAGACACGACGCGTTGGAATTTGACCGGTTTAATGAATTTAGAGTCACATATGAAGAAGTAAGTAAAGTGATATCTTTGAAAAAATTAAGATGATCGTCATTTTGAGTATATAAATCCGAAGTTTGAATAGTTGCGCGCTTGATTTCCGCTTTCAACGATGCGAGTAATATTGCGATATATGCGAGTATTTCGAGACAAGAGAAAAGCTAAGATTTTACTATTCTTTTCTGCGTAATTCCGCATCACAAGCCTAGTTCGGAGTTCAAATAATTGCGTTATTGATTCCCGCATTCAACGATGTGAGCGTAATGCCTACATTCATGAACGTTGGCAAGAGACTAGTGGAAAGCTAAGATTTTCCTTCATTTCCGCGTGATACCACATCTCATACATATATCGGAGTTCGAATACCTAGGCGCTTGTATTGATGTCCGCGCTCAACGATGCGCGTGTATAATGTTGTTGTTGTTATACCTTCATAAACGTCGGTAATTTTAGACAAGTGAACAGTTAAGATTTTCCTTCATTTCTGCGTAATACCACATCACATACCTACTCCGGTTGATTGAGCTCAAGATACGTTTCACGAGAACATTAAACACTGAGCAACATTAAACATTAACACAACTTTTTTCTTTCTTTTTCGTTAAAAGTGATAATGGAGGTTACCAAGGTTTCGCATTTGTTTTTAACTTCAAATACGTTTTTCTCGAAATCATTAAAATGCCATCTTAACTCTTTTATCCATGATAACTTCTATAACTCATTAAAATTCATTCAAACTCTAGAAATCAGTATCGATGTGATTCTGGGGCATTTTCGATGAAAGATTCGATTGTCAGTCAATCAGTCGATAGTTTCTAGATTTTTTATTATGCCTGTTAAGAACAATACCTTTATTATTCAAGGGTCAATGACTTTCCAATTTATGATTTTAATACAACATTAACCTTCTATGACTCAACGTGGAATTGAGTTTAGATCAAATGAATCGCAATCAGCAAAAAGAAACCAGCAGTGTTTTCAAAATTGTGCAGCCTTTTCCTTTCTTTCAAAAATTCTTGACATACGATATGAATTTACACAATTATTTTCCTTTGAAATGATCAATTTTTTGGTGCGAAGCAACAGCTATTTTCTATCCTGGGAGATTTTTTAAATAATCATAAAGAAGCACAGCCCCGCCACATCCCATCTCGAGCCCTGGTACCAGTTTTAAGGTCCGGGCCCCAAGCACGGAGTTTCTTTAAAAATAAACGAGTGGTACGGAATATAACAAAAGAATATGAACTATGCAAAACGATAAACCGGGTATTGGAACTTGGCTGTTTTGAAAACGCCTTCAAATGCGGCGTGATACCTCACGCATTCCGGAGAGTTCAAATAGTTGTATCATTGCGCCGTATGAATGTGACGAAAGATTGCAATAGAAATAGCCTTCATGCACGCTGGCCTTTTCGATTTCCGTTAACATTTTTGCAGTCATGAATGCGCTTAAGTGCGCTTCAGCCAGAATTGTATTTAGCAAATGAGTGGTTTTTCTACAAGAATTAAAAATAAACGAGTGGTACGGAATATAACAATATAATATGAACTATGCAAAACGATAATCCGGGTATCGGGACTTGGCTGTTTTTAAAACGCCTTCAAATGCGGCGTGATACCTCACGCATTCCGCAGAGTTCAAATAGTTGTACCATTGTGCCGTATGAATGTGACGAAAGATTTAAATGGAAATAGCTTTTATTGCGGCTTGTCACATCCCATCTCGGGCCCAGGTACCAGTTTTTAGGTCCGGGCCCCAAGCACGGGGGGGGGGGGGTCCGAGGGGCATCCCCTGAGAAATTTTAGAATTCATACGACTAATTGGACGCATTTTGAAGCTTCCATAAATAATTTTTCCATCAATTTCTGCGGAATAATTATGTTTTTTTTTCTCTACTTTCAGCACAAAATACTTGCGAATTGTTGCATTCAAAATATCAGGAAAATTGTTATTATTTTGGGGGGAGGGGGATATGATACTATTTTCAGTTCTAAGAGGGCCAGGCCCCCCTGGACTCCTCCTTCGTTTGTCTATGGCAAGGGAGTTGAGCCATGAGCCATTGAAGTCGAGGATACCCAGACTGGAGACCCTTTAGCATCTGACGACGGAAGAAAATGAAACGCAGTCACTAAAAATATCCCTCTGTACTGAAAATCTTGAAAATAGATAGAAATTTTCCAAGAAGTATACTTCTTGGAAAATTTAAGAAGAATTCTACAGTGCCCCAACGTGTCTCTGAAAATCTATTCACCTTTTTCGAAATTTTTAGGGTAAATTGTTCACTTTTTCCTACGAAACAAGGGTTGCATGTGATTTCGTAGTGGTTCTTCACGGGTAACACGGGCCCCCTCCGCTCCGGGGCCCGGGCCCCGGTACCAGCGACCCAGTATCCCCCCCTTGTGGCGCGTCTGAAGAAGCAACATTTCTACAACATTAATCGAGCTGGTTCCTTTTTGCTAAATTGACGGTGAAAGTCGGCAATCACATAACTCGTTTGCGGTGTCTGAAAATCTCCGCCTCTACGTCATTTTTTTAAAGGAGACGATTGATATTATTTCTTGAAGTTTTTACAGAATTTTCTTCGCAATGAGAAGAAAAATCATGACAGTTTTAAAGAATTGCCGTTGAGTAGTTTTCCATTTTAAAAATAAAGTATGACAGGAAGTCTGCGACGTCGCAAAGCGAGTTATGTGATTGCCGACTTTCACCGTCGATATGTGATTCAAATTACGGACATAATTCTCTGAAAATTTGGAAGAAAAACATTCACGAAGCCCGAAAATTTGTGATTCGTCAAAGGAAGTTTGGCATGGTCTAAAGGCTCATACGGCGTTTTTCTTCAACACAGCGGTATATAGCGTAAATGTTATCACTGCCATCCACAGCAAAAACGCCGTAACTCCATTCTATTTTTTCTCTGCTAAATGTTATACTACAGAAAAATCACAGATGCATTCACTCCTCACACGGAGAAAAAAACTTCGTGCATGGGACCCGAAGTTGAGGTCTTAAGTCTCTGTATGGATCTCTGAAGTTTTCGGATCACGCATCCGAAAACTTGAGGTCGAGCTGCCGAAGTTCGGGTCAGACATCGAGGCACTTCGGTGTGTGCCGGGGTACTTCAGATGTGGGACCCGAACCCTTCGGTATATCTCGAAGTACTTCAGATGTCTGACCCGAACTTTAGCAGCTCGACATCAAGTTTTCAGATACGTGATCCGAAAACTTCCGAGATCCATATGACCTCAACTTCGGGTCCCACGCACGAAGTTTTTTTTTCCGTGCATAATTTTAGAGTAATTACGATACATCTCTGAGAGCTCAAACTGTCAAAATGAAGCATTATGGCAACACGGATTAATTGTAATAGAACAGTATGTGTGAAAGAAAAATGAAAATATTGATTGGAGTTACGGCGTTTTTCCCGTGGACGGCAGATCACTTCCCCTCTGTTCATCGACAAAGGGCATTACCCGCAGGAGAAGACCGCCGTGATGCCGTGAGTCGTGGCGTGGCGCTCCCCGTGAGCGGAACTCGAACTAAAAATCAGAAACAGTCAAACCTCGCCCTCCCCTTTCATTCGCTCGCTGAACTTCGCGGTCCGCGGTTATTGTCCCCGCGCAATCTCCTCATCCGCGAGTTTCACGTGTTTTTCACGATCGTCCTCGAGCACCCGCTCAATTTCCGCGTAGTGAAATTGTGCTCATTCTCTTCACAATTTGTTTTCAACTTCAACACCGTTGTGTTCGCTATCCGGTGCTCGTGTGTCTTCGCTCGAACCTGCATCCATCCGGCTCAAATTATCTATAGATTCACCCTTAAAAAGTAGTATTCGTGATTATTTTGGAAATCCCGGTTTACGGTTTCCTCCATCTGGTGTACCGCGGTTATGAGTGTGTTGACATCTTGATGTTGGAAAGTTTTTAATGGTTGTCTAGGTCGTCCAAGAAGTGCTCTAATTTCGGTCTACGCCAGTGCGACCCATCATTCTTTTCAATTTTTACGTGAATAGCAACTGAATTTGTTTGTTGTTTTATTTTATGTGATCTTATGGAATATTGAGCGTGATCGGTTCAGGATACTATCTTTTCTATCGATATGACGTCATAGATAGCATCCCTCAAAGCAGACTGAGGCAGCTGTTATCGATAAACTATGCGTCCTGCGTCTTAGATTCGTGCGGGTGGTTTTTTTTGCGAGTGGCCCACAGCCGAGTTTATCCTTGTTGAGTGTTTACTTTGGTGCGCGATGGCCAGTGAAAACATGTCGGTAGCGGCCCCGACTGTGGAGGTGCAGATATCGACCCTCCTGGATAAGATCGAGGCGATGCGGCAGGAGCAGTTGCAGGCCGGGCCGCCGCGGCTCCTCCCGATGCAGGCGGAGATGCGGACCCTGGAATTTTGGCGCTCGGTCATCGCCGAGTGCATCGCGACGTTCCTTTTCGTCTTCATCGTCAGCGGCGCCGCCTCCAGCTCCGTCACCGGCGGATCGCCCACCTCNTACCAAGGCCCAGTAAAATTACCGAGAGAGTTCAATAATTTTACCGAGATTTCTCGGTAAAATTACCAATTCCATAAATGGTAATTTTACCAAGAAAAAACTGGGATCAAATAGACCCCCGAATTCTTGGTAATTTTACCCTTTTCTTAGTAAATACACCGAGATTTTTTTTCAGTGTACAATGTCCAGTACATCCGTAAAAAAAAAAAACTCACATGCATCGGGAAACTAACGGTACATACGCTGTCTCTAAATCAAGCCTGAAATTTTAGTTCCTAATTCCAAAATGTATATATCGTCCAATTCATCACAAAGTTTCACGTATACCTCATCGGCGTCCGTCCTCAATCCACCGAGAGCCTACCCTCGATATCGGAATACAGTCCAGAGCTTGCTCCCTCCGACTTCCATTTGTTTTAGAATCTTTGGCATTTTTTTCTTCTCCTACTTCTAGCTCAAAACATCAACATTCATGCTCTTATATTTTACAGGGGCTCATATCAATCCGGCAATCAGCATTGCGATGGCTTTCACGAAGCAGATTTCCACCTTCAGGGCTTTCATGTTCGTCGTGGCCCAGTGTGGCGGTGGCATCGCAGGTGCAGCCATCCTTTACGGGTAAGTCTGCCTCATTTCCATAAGTTTTCTTCCATCTAGGTTGCCACATACTACAATACATTGATTATTTATACTCATTTATTATTCGATTGTTCCATCCGGGACAAGAGACCAGACTCTCCATCGATATCTTGGCAATGGTGGAGGCTTTTACTTTCGGGACTTCAACAACTTTTCTTCCCCTTTTCAATCCTCATGGTGGTAATTTCACATTTCTAATCACACTCAATTATCCTCCCCTTCCTCCGTCCACTAACGTGGTCTGTTGAGAAGTTAATATGGGCACTTGAAACCTCCACACTGTGGATGCGAGATTTTCGGTGGTGACGAGGCATACCCAACGTTCAAGTGGTTCAAGTTTTGTTGATTCATGGATTGATTCAGTTTATTTACAAGAGAAGTTAAAACTTAACCACCTGAACTTTTAAAAAGGTCCTGTTTGATACTCTCTCCGAAACGCTTTGTCGCTGAGAAATTTAAGTGTCAACTGACACCGGCCTATGTATTAAAGTGAGCTCGAGTATTAGAAGATGAAGCCTTCTCTCGAGTTTTAACCCTCATTCCTCGTAATGCACATCTGAAGCCTCGAATCACCTCCATTCCTGTCGAATATCATGTTTTTGGACATAAACTACCTGCAATTATAATTTATTTTCCAATTGAATTTGCACAAACAAATATCTTTTGATCCTCCCCCAAAAATCTGTAATGCTCTTGGATAGTTTGTTTGACGTGATTGAGTTCATTTCCCCCCTCGTAACTAAGCATTTTCACGACCTCCTCTCCCTCCCTCCCCCTCTGTTCTCCCGAAATGTTACGTGAATCTAAAAATACCCTTCTCATGTAGACGAAATTCCATGGTTTACTTTCTTTACCTTGCGTTTAAGTCTCCGAGGCATACGTTTGAACTTAACAGCCGTAATGACATGCATCATGCACTGATCCAGTTATTGCACATCGAAAGAGATACCTCCAATCCTCCATGGCCAAGGGCAAGGATGTCACCGTAGACATGGCCCTCATATGATAGACATAGACACAAGCATAAAGATAGCAACGAACAGCCGTACAGAATGAACATAGCTACAGGAATAGCCTTACAGAATGGGCACAGCGACAGGCATAGCCCTAAAGAATCGACATACCTGTAGACATAGCCGTATACATTAGGCATAGTATTAGACAAAGCCATTAATAATGGACATAACTATAGACGCGGTCGCAGACATCCCGATAAAGCCTTAATTTACTTTGACGAACTACGGATTCTCTGGGGAACTTGTGAATAGTTTCCTTCCAGTTTTTCAGATATTTTTATTCGCAATTTTATCTAAAATACCTGAAAAATATTCATGAATACTCTCAAAAAAGAACAATTAATCGCGAGAGTCTTGGCAACATTCGAATGTTCATACGGCGTTTTTCCCTCACTGGTAAAAAAAACCTCTTGGACCAATGCCGCATTGCATTGACTTAAGAGTGCAGTTTCTTGTCGCCGCGGATTTAAGAGTCTTGAACTCTTGTTTCAAGCGGATTTTGCATTGATTCAAGCGGATTTTGCATTGAAACAAGAGTCCAGACTCTTAAATCCGGCGACAAGAAACTGCACTCTTGAACCAAGAGGTTTTTTTTCCAGTGTAGCGCGGCAGCATAGGGTTAAAACTATCTGAGAAAACCGGGACGTAATCGAGGGAAAGAGATGACCTGGAGGATGATTTTACCGTATGATATGCCTCCTCGCCGACGCGACGCAAATGAAGCCTTTTTAAAAATGATGGTAGTCCCGTTCAGAATACGGCCCGTCGCCGTTGTTTTCCCATATAAAGCTCAGAATGCTCTCCATTTCTATGCCTCCGTTTCATTGAAGTCGCGGCGTGCGGAGTATGTTCAATTCTGCCGTGCTGAGGAAAAACGCCGTATGAACATTCGAGAGTTGCCAAATTTCTTCCGATAAAATTTGTATTTTTTAGGAAAGTTATCAATATTTTTCATTGAAATTTTTATCACTGAAAAAAAATTCTCGGCGTTTTCACCAAGGTCCGTTGGTACCTTTACCATCTCACTTTTTTTTTTACCAATTATTGGTAATTTTACCAAGACAGTCTGGTAAACTTACCTAAAAACCGGTATTTTTACAGTTTTTTTCAGATAAGCATACCAATTTTATTGATAATCAATTCCCGGTAACTTTGCCATTTTATCTCGGTAATTCTACCACAGTCGATAAAAAATATTGGCGTTTTTACCGGGGTCCAGTAAAATTACCGAGAAAGTCAATAATTTTACCGAGATTTCTCGGTAAAATTACCAATTCTATAATTGGTAATTTTACCATGAAACAACTGGGATCAAATAGAACTCTGAATTCTTGGTAATTTTACCCTTTTCTTAGTAAATACACCGAGATTTTTTTTTCAGTGTGCACTATTTGGATCAGATAACGAACGAAATTGAAAAATCGAAAGAAAAATGTTCATAAATATCCCCATAATTTCGTGATTTATCAAAGGAAATTTGGCAACGCCTAAAGGCTCATACGGCGTTTTTACTTAGCACGGCAGAACTGCGCACAGGACATAGGCCCGTTTTCTCCGGTGCGCGAACTCGCAGGAAAAGTATAAAGGAGAGGGGAAGGAGGGGGTGTTGGACATCACAGGAACGATCTCCGCGCACAAAAACAATACGGCAAATCCATCCGGTTTCGTGTAAAGTATAAATAAAGTTGCCCTGACCCCCGCGCATAGCTCCCTTTGTCATGCGGCTACCGCGGCCATGTTGCTATGTCGCCATAGGCTCAACTTATTGAAATACCGATATGCCACGAGATAGTAATGCCACCTCGATCTTTCCATCACGCATGGTAAAACTGCAGAAATGCGTATCTCGCTTTGCGGCGCACAGTGGATCGAGTCAATAGGAGAGATCGGACAAAATTTGGAAACTTTGAAAGCTTGTAGCTCCGTTTATACACAATGTTGTGTCTCTAAATGGACCGCGTTTAACAGAAAGGAACCAAGTCACATCAGCTATTGCCAATTTTAACTGGGCAATAATACGAGAAAACGTTTGTGCGGATCCCTTTGAAAATGTTTAGGAATTTGCTTCGTACTATGGAGAAAATTCCCTGAAATTTGCACGAAAATCCGCAAAACCGTTTTCATGTAAAAAATTTAATTAGCCGATTAAATTTGGCAATAGCTGATGTGGCTTGGTTCCTTTCTGTTTAACGCGGTCCAAATGTGGTACCATTGGTTTTCTCGTAAAATTGTCCTCTTTAAATACCCATTGAAATTTAAACTGCGACGAAATAAACATCAAAATTTGCAGCGTTAGTCAAAAATTTCATGTCCGACCTCTAATTGACTCGATCCACTGTGCGACGTTGAAAACTTCTTGTCATGTTTTACTTTCTACGTCGGAAACTATTGAACGCCATTTCTTAAAAATTCCGGTGACTTTTTTGCTCTGTAAAAATGCCCAGGCATGCATGACTGACGTTCTGCCTCTTTTTAAAAAAAATTAAATACGAGCGGAGGTTTTGAAACATCACAACCGAGATAAGCATTTTTGCAGATTCACCGTCGAACTGTAGTTTCAGGCTGAGAAGAAGCCCTTTGGAAAAATAGACATTTGAAATTAGGTCCTACAGTTTCTGGCTCAACCGTAGAAATACTCATGTGCATAGGGAAAATAATGATTTATTCGTCGTTTCTAAACCGCGAGCCAGGCAAAATGCAAAATGTATCCAAATTTGATTTTCACCATTCTCCTCCCGTATTTTATGCTATTCAAATTCCTAATATTCTTCTTGGATTTATATCCAGTCTCGTGTCAAGGTAGGGATTGACGTCTTCTCCCATGTCACAGGATCCTCTAAACTGCCGTGCTAAGGAAAAACGCCGCATGAGCCTTTAGACGTTGCCAGATTTACTTCAATAAAAACCAAATTTTCTTGGAACATTGCGAACATTTTTCTTCAAAATTTTCAGATAATTTTGTTCGTAATTTGATCTAAAACATCTGCAAATTCCGAGAAGAAATATGAATAACTTTCCTCAAAAATACATGTTTTATCTGGAGGAATTTGACAACTCTCAAATGTTCATACGGCGTTTTTCCTTATCACGGCAGTTAACCCCTCTCTACCAGGTGAATGATGTAATTTATGGCCCGTTCTCTTGTCTTGAATGATGACAGCTACGAGAGAGAATCCAGACCCGCGACCTTTTTGTGAGACCCGAGTCATTCCATTGACTGTTCCCGCGATACCACGATTGAAAGATGTAACTCAAATCCATCCCTATCACCTCTTAGAGAGAAGAAGGAAAAGAAGGAGGGTAAGAATGAAAATAAGAAGGAGAAGGAGTCGAGAAATATGAAGAAGAGAGAAAGAGAGGGAAAACTTCATTTACAATGGAGAATTTGTACGCAAATTTTTATTGCTTCATCTGAGAGTGCCCATTGAGCTGAGTTCGCAGTATTTTTCATACTTTTTTTCTGACATGGACAATTGGAGAAAAATTTATTTAAAAGTGAGAAAATGTGCCGCCTTATGACGTCATCTGACGGAATTTTCCATTTGAATATATGTATTTTCGCAGATTAGGTCATTTGGTCATATTTTCTTCAATAATTGTCCAATTTAGAAACCGAGGATATCCTAGTACTCAGTTTTCTTAGTATCATTTTAAGGATGAAATTCGTAAAATTTATAAGACACCTGCAAATTCTCTATTCATTTACAAAATCTTCAGAAGAGTGAGAATCGGTGAAGATGAAAAACAATATTGTTTTAATAATATCTATGCACAGTACCTTTCGTATGACTATAGTACATGAAAAGAGAAAAAAAAATTACGGTCAAAATTTATGATTGTTATATTTTATTGTCGGCGATCGATCCGAAATCCGTTTGCCTCCGGTCAACTCGAGAAGTGCTCTGAAGGTAGAACTAAGCGATACAGAAAAATTAGTCGTAAACCCAGCGAAATAGATTCTCC